AAACACTACCTGCATGGAATTTGTCTATTTGACAACGATTTTGATCTTCATTCACATTCAGTGTTTATACTCTTTTCCAACGCGGATGACATATGTGTCAGAAAATGATAAATTGCTAGCATATCAGCCTTTTCTTATACTTAACCCGTGCAGGTTGTGGAAAGATTAGGCCTGTTGTATCCCACAGCGTGATCCTAAGAGGCGACTAATGTGACCCCCCTTTGAATCGGGTTTTCCATGTCCTGTACTAGAGACCAAAATGTATCTGCTGTCATCTTTGCAACACTTGGGATCTTTTTCATTTCCTATATTTCCTGTCGTCTGTATTTTCTATTTACCATCTCTTCTAGGCACCCGCCCTCATATGCCTCCTCATATGACCCTGGGGCTGTTGCAGGGACGCACGTTTAACGCCAAACAAACCAACACACAAACTCTCTTAGACTTATATTGGGGTTTATGATTATTTAGGGTGGGTGGGGGGCGGGGGTTGTCATCGGATTTTCGCTTGTTCTATTTTTTTATCGATTATTACTTGTTTCTTGCTTGGTGATGATGACGCTGTAATTATTTTATATCATAAAATTCCACACGAGTTATCGCCCTTGTACTGTGATTTACTAGAGAACTGTACGACCTTCAGTAGACATTGCTTTGAGTCCTAAACATCCTGTCAGATCGAACAATATTGACGTACACTGCCTACTTAATATATATTAATTGGAAAAGATGTACGCAGGCAGAAATCTGCCTCTATATCCATGTCAATGATACAATACATACCTATAATACATTAACATTCAATTTAACATACATGTAAAAACTTAAAAACTTGCTTAGTGATCATATTTCATATCTTCGTTTTTCCAGAATTCATCTAAATTGACCTCTTTTCAATTCCTTAATTGTAGTTGAGTCTATAACTCTCTGCAGGAAGCTATCAAGTATTCGTACTGTCCTGAAGTTGAAACTGAATTTTCCGAGATCTAAATTGAAATGGTTTATCTTTAAAAAAAAATGTGAATGACCGCGATTATTCTTACAACGAGTCCATTGTCGACTCTCTCATCAAACATTGTTAATTATCTTCAATACATGAACATTGTCTCCCCGCATCCTTCGATACTTTACAGTTGGTAGTAACACTATTGATTGTGTAGTAAATATTGATGAAATCGAATGATTGTTTCAAGATCAAGTAATATCAGTTAAACTACGTATGATTACACATTAGAATAGCAATTCATTCTTTGTTTTTTTACCAGACACTCAAATCGCATAGGTCAATCTTTCCTTTTTCTGACCTCAATTAAAAACATAAGCTATTCCTCTGTCCGGAATTACAATTTAATTGCACACAAAAATACCATAATAAAAAATAATCGAAACAGTGTTCTAGTTATGTTGTAAGTTCGCCTCAGTTAATTATGATTATTATATGACTGGTGCTAATTCCCAGCCCTGATTGGAGGAGCGACGTCATGTGACGAGTCTGTAAATATGTTACAGACCTCGTTCTATGAATAGAAAAGTGTTACAAACCTCGACCTATAAATAGAAAAATGTTACAAACCGCTACTAAAAATAGCCCTAGGTAATTTCCCAGCAAGTCTGTGATTCTGTTACCAATCACACTACTGAATTCAACTACAAATGCATTATCTCATCAAATTTTGAACTATGTGAGTATTGATGATGTCGATTTAACTTGAAATTAAATATCACATGAATTGAATTTTGAAATCCAATTTGTGTGTATGTTATTTTGTATTTGAAGTGCTTCACTGTGATTCCAAAATGGTCCATGCCATCCGTGTGTTTACGACTTGAAAAATTATTAATCTCATTGTAAAATGTCATATAATAAAACAATTGTGGACTTCAGTTCGGTCTCTCCCTGATTTACAAACCTGGTCTAAACAATATTTACATCGGCCTTAAATATCAGTCAGGTATCTCTTGGTCCCCCCCCCC